GGATCATCCCGGGTGATTCTCAGATCCGGATTGTCCCGGGTCGATCCCAGATCATCCCGGGTGGTTCCCAGATCTGGATTGTCCTGGATCCTCCTGGATCATCCTGGGTTGATCCCGGATCCTCCTGGATCATCCTGGGTGGTTCCCAGATCCAGATTGTCCCAGGTCGATCCTGGATCATCCCGGGTCAGTCCCGAATCATCCCGGGTGGTTCCCACATCCAGATTGTCCCAGGTCAGTCCCAGATCCTCCTGGATCCTGGGTTGGTCCTGGATCCTCCTGGATCATTCCAAGTGGTTCCCACATCCGGATTGTCCCGGGTCAGTCCTGGATCCTCTTGGATCATCCGGGGTGGTTCCCAGACCTGGATTGTCCCGGGACAGTCTCGGATCCTCCTGGATCATCCTGGGTCAGTCCTGGATCCTCCTGGATCGTCCCGGGTGGTTCCCAGATCCAGATTGTCCCGGGTCAGTCCCAGATCCTCCTGGATCATCCCGGGTCAGTCCCGGATCATCCCAGGTGGTTCCCAGATCCGGATTGTCCCGGGTCGATCCCGGATCATCCCACGTGGTTCCCAGATCTGGATCATCCTGGGACAGTCCCAGATCCTCCTGGATCATCCCAGGTGGTTCCCAGATCCGGATCATCCTGGGTTGGTCCCGGATTCTCCTGGATCATCCCACGTGGTTCCCGGATCCAGATCGTCCCAGGTCGGTCCTGGATCCTCCCGGCTCATCCTGGGTTGGTCCTGGATCATCCCAGGTGGTTCCCAGACCTGGATTGTCCCAGGACAGTCTCGGATCCTCCCGGATCATCCCGGGTGGTTCCTGGATCCGGATCATCCTGGGTCGGTCCCGGATCCTCCGGGTGATCCCAAACCGTCCTCCATCCTCCCGGGATCCTCCTGGATCCGGATTTTCCCGGATTGTCCCAGTTCCGGATTGTCCTGGATGGTCCCACCGGGCCCTTCCCGGGTTTTCCCGGATTTTTCCGGATTTTCCCGGCTCTCCCTTCCCTCCTCCCCCCCCCCCGCGGTCGCTGTCACTGGATCGTTCCCAGCAGTCGATAATTAATTAATAAATTAAATCCAACGGGACCGGAGTCGCATCTGGGGGGGGGGA